TTTTACTTTTTTTTTTTTATGAAATGGTGGATAATAATTTTTTTAACTTTTTTTTTAAGGAAATGGTGGACAATAGTTTTTTAATAATTATTTTTGGATTTTTTTTTTTCAGACAACATGATTCAAATTCCATCATAGGTTCTCTAAGTTGAGTCTTCTCTCTGTTGAGGTAAGAATCAGAAGTGTGATTTCTCTGCTTATCGTAGACTTGATTGATTTAGGACTATCAGTGTTTTAGTCACTTAGCATTTTCCAACAATTTTGTTGGAATAACACACTAGGAAAGATCAACATAGTCATGAATATTCAGACCATATACATAATTTATATGTTTATATATATTTATTTCATCATATATAATTCTTTTACAAGTATGCATATATAATTTATAACACGTTTCTATATTATATATAATTTTTTTATATGTTAGAAAGTTTTTATCTGTACCATAAACATAATACTTTTTACACCAACCAGGCATATCAATTAATTAAGAAGAATATCTAACAAAATGCTATAAAGTTAATTTCATCAAACTTATAACCCGCGGGAATATTAAATTTTATAACCAAACAGACACCATGATATTCATACCCTCTAATCTCAGATTGCTTTTTTCCAAAAACAACTTACCACCATTAACCAAAAAAATAATTATAAAAATAAATAAATAAAAGACTAGGAAGTTTGGCAAAGACCTAATCACTTACTAAACTGTTTAGTGTTTTGGTGAATCAATGACACAGAAACAGAAAAAATTGTGTTGAATTACTTCTTAAAATGTAGAGCGGCTATGGCACCAGCAATGCCTAGACCTAAGAGAAGAAGGAGAAGGCATATTATTTTGATGCTGGTAGGTCTAGACGCAGGGCCAGCAAGAGCTGCCGGAGACTCAGCCTCAACAAGAGTAGCAGGAGCCTCTGTCTCGGTAGCAGCTGGAGCCTCTGTCTCGGTAGCAGCTGGAGCCTCTGTGCCAGGAGCAGCTGGAGCTTCTGTCCCGGGAGCAACAGGAGCCTCTGTCTGGAGAGCAGCAGGAGCAGCAGGAGCCTCTGTCTGGAGAGCAGCAGGAGCAGCAGTCTCAGGAGGCACTAAGGCAGTGTTGGGCATGGGCTCAGCATTATCAATTACAGGAAGAGCAGAGAGATTGAAGCCTTCTGGGAAGTTATAGTGACGTTGATAATAAGTCTGGTTAATCCAATAATAATTGCTTTGATTTAGTGGCGTGTTGTCCCTGCTAATAGCAGAAGAAGAGGCAACTGGGTCAACATCGATGATGGCAGTTCCATGTGTTGGCGGCTGATCATCGGAAGAATGATCGGTGATGGCCACGCGTCGTCTGGTGTTGTAATGACGAGAATACTGCGAGCCATTTGGTGGATTGCTGCTGCCCTCAAACATGCTCGATAACTTTTCAAGCTGTCTGAAAACACCTCCCTCCATCTTCGAACCAAACACTAACTAGTACAAACAAGAGACCCAAGAAGAAATATGTATGAGCAACTACTATATATATATATATATGCATGTACGAGAATATTTATACAAGAATATACACTTCGAGGTTTCTACAATGAAATCAATTTGGGCAACCGAAAGAATGATATTTGATTTTCTCTTTTTTTTTTTTTAAGAAAGATTTTCTCTTTTAAACTGTGTCAATAATCTAATTTCCTAAATAACTGCTCCTCTTTCTTCTTTTTTTCCATTTGCGGTTTTATTCTCAAAATATTTTCTCCTAAATCTAAATATATGGACTCTCAATTTCTTTCCCGAATGTACTTTGTTAGAATATTACCTTTTTGGTATAATATTTATATATATATATATATTCTTCTTCTTTATGATGATTTGAATTTCTATTCTTAATTTTTTCTACTTTCTATATAGTTTATGTTCTATTTTTAGATTATTATATATATATATATTACTCTGTAAAAGTTTCTATAATTTCCTTTGTAGAATTCAATATTTCAATTAGTTAATACTTCACTAATTTATTATATGACAAATCAATTTGTCATGGATTTTTCTTTTCATTATATTTTGGTCTTTTAAATTATAAATATATTTCATGATATAATTTTTTATTGAATTTTTATAGAAATATAAAAGTTTTTATTTCCTTATTTGAGTGAAAAAATTGCAATTCTTTTCTTTTTCAATGTCTGTTATTATTATTTGTGTAGGTAGATAAAATAAATTATAATATTCGTTGAATTTATTAAGGATAATTCTCAATCGTTATGGCTTTAAAAATGTATTATTTTAAATAAAATTTTTGTAAGAAGATATTACCAATAAAATAATATAATAAGTTTTAAAAAATAAAATATCACAGCTAATAATTTAAAAATAAATAATAATTTCCAGTTACCTTGCTACGATTTATAGAGCATTGGTATATCCTAGATGAAATTTAAGGGACACCGTTCACATGCGCACTTTTCTAATTTATAAGCGCAACGAAAGAAAGACGAGGTTCTGAGTTGCAGACATGCACTTCATTCCGCAGTGATAACCCATCATTCTCGATTTATCAGCTATGGCTTTTCCTTTATCTTTGAATACTTCAGTGGCTTTTAAGTGTTTACCGTCTTTTTCTTCTTCTTCTCACGGCGAGCGACTCTTGTTCTTCTGCTCCAGGAACACCAATCCGGTTCTGCCGCGTCACTCTCCCTCTCGCTTGGTCCTGGCTTTGGCGCGACGGCGAAACCAGAACTCAGCAGTCGCATCGGATTCTTCTGATAAGAAGAAAAAGAAGGTAAGAACACTGAATTTGTTTGGCTTCCGAGAAATTTGAGTGATGACTGTTGAGATAACGGACATGGGATCTTAAGCTTTACACTAAATTACAGTCTTAATTTTTGCTTGAAGTAAGTGGATTTCTTGAGAATTAGTATGGTTTTAAGTCTAAGAGTGAGAAACTTTATAGATATCATTTTTCATGGTAGGTTTTTGGTTTAGGGGGGAATTTAATCGAATAGTTTTTCATATTAGGCTACAAGTTTACTTTTCCTTTAGTATCCTGAAGTTTACGTTTCCTGGCTGCGTTGGGAACTTTGGTGCAAAAAACCTCGGGAATATGATGCATTTATTTGATTATCTTGTGACAGAAAAGTTTTGCTCGTCAGAGTACAGAGGAGGAAGAGGAGGATTTGGATGATGATCCATTTGAGGCACTATTTAGTCAATTGGAAGAAGATCTTAAAAATGATACTGGTTCTGTGGATGATGATGATGATGAGATAAATGAAGAAGATATCAATGCACTTGCCCGTGAGTTAGAGGAGGCATTACGGGATGGTGATGGTTTGGAAATGTTCAAATTAGCTGCAGAAAGTGATAATGATGAAGCTCCTTATGATGATGATGGTGATAATGATGCATATGAAGATGAAGACGATGAAAAACCGGTGAAGCTCAAGAATTGGCAGCTTAGAAGATTGGCTTATGCTTTGAAAGCTGGACGGCGGAAAACTAGTGTGAGTTTAGTGTTTTATATGTTTTTCTTGAAAAGAAGATATGAGCCAGAACCGATTCTGCAAATTTTTCAAACTTATTTGAATCAATACACCAGCTTTACGTTGAGAATTCCATGAATCTTTTGGATCTCTAGGTATCAGTTGAACTTTTCTTTTTTGTCTTCTGAAGATAATGTTTGAATGGTACATCTGTAGCTTAAGAGTTCTCATTGATATGAAGTTCTTGATGAAACTGAAAACCTAGCAGAAGGAGATGGAAAATGGAACGAATAATTCCTTTTCGACACGCTAGCGGAATGTGGTGAACACTTAGTGGATTAGCCTTGTTGGTTGTGCTGCAGTTCTTGGCCATAATGATGGAATTTCCTCTGCTAAGACTTGTCTTAGGATCCTTTAAGAAGGGTGAGAATCAGGTTAACAAGTCCTGACAGCAAAATATTAGTTGGGGAAATAATATTCAATGAAAATGACGTAATGAGGAAAAGTAACAATTTGCTTCCAGAACTTGAGGATCAAAACCCTTATTCTCTACCTTTTTCTCTTATTCCCTCTTCCAGTATGAACCCATAGAGGTTGTTTCTAAATCAATTTTCTTTCTTTTGTAGATAAAGAATTTGGCTGCTGAACTTTGTCTTGATAGGAGTTTTGTTCTTGAAATGCTCCGTGATCCACCTCCAAACCTTGTTATGATGAGTGCTGCTTTACCTGATAAGCCTCCAACAACCACAATCCCTGAAGCAAATCCTCCTGAAACAATTTCTGCAGAATCAGTGGGAGACACCATAGAACCTGAGACAAAAAAGGAAGAACCCATCCATGTCATGCAACAAAGATGGTCTGCTCAAAAAAGACTGAAGAAAGTGCAACTTGAAACTCTTGAACGAGTTTATAAAAGATCAAAGCGACCAACTGTAAGAAAAACTTTTGCTCCTTTAAGTTAAATATGCTTATAATCTATATATATTGTAAACATGCGATTTGCTAAATTATATGCTATTAAGGTTGTTTCTAGTTTAAAAATTATTGCTTTGCAAGCTTCCACTTTTTTAACACAATTTGGTCATTTGTTGAGCTTTCTTCAGATCAGAAATCTTGTTTGCCTGTATATTGCTTGGAAACTGTTGCTAAAATGTACCTGACATTCTTTTTTCAATTTGAAAACTAATACCCCATGTGCTTATATGAATAATGCAGAATGCTATGATTAGCAGCATCGTGCAAGTGACTAACCTGCCCCGCAAAAGAGTCCTGAAATGGTTTGAAGATAGACGAACTGAGGATGGAGTTCCAGACCATCATCGTCCATACCGACGGCCTGTTCCTGAAACTATATTTTCAAAGTAAAGTGGTTTCTTTACTTGTATTTTATTTCAGAATAGCATATAAACTTTTCTGATCCTCTGTCCTCCTTTTGTCAATTTAATTTTCGGACTAGGATTTTTGTAGGTTAATAAATAAAAACAACTTAAAGCAACTGCTCAAAAGTCAAAGCTCCAAGAATGGTTGTGCTTCTTAAGTGAAAATTGTAGGTTTTATGATTGATTATAAAATGTAATTGATCACTGCTTCTTGTCATGGATGCCACTGCCCCTGGGACAATGTCAGATATGATCACCCTGCTTGCTGTCACTTGAAGTATAGATTCCATTAAAGCACAAACAGATTTGAACAACATTCCTTTGGGCATTTCAATGAAAAGTGTTTGGGTCACCTATTATTATAGTTGCTGATGGACAAATCAACTAGTTCATATTGATTCTTGCATATAAATAGTGCATGCCAGCAGAGTTAACCGCAAAGGGGCTTAATATAGTGGAGATTTTGTGAAAGAGAATGTAAAATGTTGTGAATTGTCAGGTACCTACTAGATTAAGATTGATTTAGTCTGCTGATTTTTGAAGTGTATAGCTGTTGTTGTTGAGAAACTGAATTTCTTTGTCTTCTCTTCCTGTCTGATTGCATTTCTTACTGTCATATTACTGATTATTAATATCACAAGGATTGTGAAGTTCCTGAATGGATATAAATTGACAATTTACCATGTACTTTACATTATGATCAATTTCAGTTTTTTGTGATTCTGTCATATGATTGCCCATTTTGTGTGATGAAAAACATTGCTAACACGTCTATCTTGTTTCTGCCTTCTGTTTTTAGCAGCTTATGGAAAGGTTTTCCTTGTGAAAAGATTTTCCCAGTTAAATCTTTTTCCAAATCACCTTTTGTTTTGCCATCTAATTTATTGATCAGAAACATTAAGTGATTGTAATTAACTAGTGAACGCATATTACCATGACCAGATATGGACAAATGTGAAGTGGATAGTTATTGTTCCTAGAGAATATCACCATAGTCTAATATAGTTTTTTAAGAAGAAAAATAAGATTCTAGTGGAATGCTGTTATTTAAGTTTACTCTCTTTTTAAAATTAGGTTTCATTTCAAATGACTAGGTTAGGAAATTTCACATAGCATACTCTCCGCTTTCTGGCTAAGCACTACTCACAAGATTCAAACAAAAAACAGTAAGACAAGAATGTTGGAAGTGAGAAAGCATCTATTGATACCCTTCCCTGATCTCTTTCTTTTAATTCCTGTCTTTGAATTTTTCTTCAACGCCCGCCTATATTTACCTGAATAACCCACCAATTATTCTCATACAAAACCACAGACTTACCAGTTCAGTTAGAGAGAGAGAGAGAGAGAGAGAGAGAATGGCAACTCTTCAAAAGTCCTTAGTTGTGTTTAGGAGAAAAGGATCATCTGGTTTAGTATGGGAAGACAAGTTTGTGTTAGGAGAAGATGGCACGGTAGAGTACAAAGATAAGTTAAGGTCATGCCAATCCACCAGAAACCGCATCATCTCAACTGCAGCACCTCCAGCCTGCCCTCGTAGTTTATCGACACCAACAACACCCAATTCTTCTCGCAAAGTTTAGTGCCTGCTACCGAAACCAAAATTTGGAAAACAAAACAAGCCATTAGTCATCACTATTATTGTTATTAAATTTTTGTCGTTGATGGATAATTTTTTGTGATCAGTATCTATCTGTTGCAAGTACTGATATGTTTGTTTATTCAGTATCCATTCTTTCATTCTGATTGATATGTTGTGTAAGTTGATGTAAGAGTTACCTGAGGTAACTTGGAATTAGTTCTAAATTATATTAAGGATTATTTCTGCTCATTTTTAAGATTCAGTATGTGAAAATTTGTGCAATTAATACTTGAGATTCAGTTTCTCTCTTACCCTTTTTTTGCCATAGTTGTGTTTAGATCAAATTTCATTTAAATTTCTAGTCATTTTTACAATTTTATGTTAGTTTTTTTTTTTATATATATAATTTAACATAAATTTTTTATTTAGTTATTATATGACATGATATTTTCATTTTACAGGCAAGGTCAAATCTTTTTTTTTTTTTTTGTTTTTAATCCCATCTTTAGCAAAAAAAATTGTTGACATTAAAAATTCAATCTCTACATTGAAAAACTTAGAATTCAAAAAAGTTTAATCTTTATAATATATAGTTGGCTAAAAAAAATAAGTTTGTTATTGTTAAGAAATAATTGAAATTTAAATTTATTACAAATGATTTATTCTTAATCTTAAGTTCATTTATTTTACATATATGTGTGTGTGTGTTACTTTTGGGAATCTGAGTAACTATTATATCATTTTATCTTGTCAAACGGAAATATTCAAATAAATTATTTAAAACTGTTTATAAAAACAAAAACAAATAACTACAAATGCCTTTTTCTACTTAGACATCCTTATCAAGATTTCGACAACCTAAAGCATTCAAATCAGAGTTAGAAGAAGGCATCTTATCAAAATTCTTCAACGACCAATAAATACACAATGTGTCATATTTCAACCATATAACTTTGGGGTATAAATAGAGAATCCAAAATTCCTGCTCTTGGCGTGTAGATGGTAGAATTTTGAGAACATCATTTGTAAATTTTTACTAGTAATAATGATAATTCACTGTACACCGGATTACCCGTTGGTCCGGTAAATCATTGAAAAATGATAAAAATGAGTATGGTTTTTCCTGTATAAAAATCCATAATTGATAATTATATTGATCGCATTATTTTTTAAACAATAAAATTTATGTTGTCTTACCCAAGATTTTTCACTCTTTAAAAAAAAAAAAAAATCTTTTTAAAATTATTATTACTTAATAATTTTTTATATATGTTTCTCGTAGTAATTTTGGATACTATATCCTGCAACGGTAGGCTTAACATCAATTTATTGGGTAGTGCTTTCAGTGCTACTTATGGTAACAATTAAATTCAACGTAATTGGAATTGCTAGTTAATCCCCCCCAGCATAACACTTTTTTAACCTAAAAAAATTTAGTGAAGTTTTCAAAAACAATAAACACGTGGAAAATAATCAACTTTTCAGAGAAAGAGACTATTCAGGCTTTGTGGTTATGAAAATTGAACTCCATGGACCACCTGCTTATATAAAGGGCTTTTTATAATATCTCTCTCTCTTAATTCGGCTTTTACTCACTTATGAAGAAGAGCTTTTCATTTTGCTCATTATTTTCACAATAATATCAAATCATTGCCTTCTTAATTTAATTAAATCCTTTTTTTTTTTTTTTTTTTTTTTACGTTATTATAATTTTGAAATATATTTAAAATATATTTTATTGGTAACATGCACGTCTGTCTGTCTGTCTGACTCTATAATTATTTTATATTTTATTTCATACTTTATTAGAGATTAATTAACGGGTGGGGTCCGTCCTCTATTCTAACACCCATCTCTCTCTCTACTCCACGTTTGTTAGTTTCATACATATTTCATATTTATAACTTTTTTTTTTTTTTATTTACACTTTTGTTTCAAATTTTATTACGTGTGGATTATTGATCTTTTATCCTAATACTCATTTCTACACGTATTTACTTCACACGTGTGATACGCACGTTTGTTAATCTCATACTCGTTTTATATTTTTAACTTTTCATCCACGTGTATCCACAAGGCAAAATTTTGAAAATTCTTCCGGCAAACGCAATTCGGTCCCAATTCGTAGCATTTTACCTTTCCCCTCTTCATTCTTTTTCCACCGTCCGATCTAAAATTCAATCTGACGGTTACTGTTTCTTCACGTTGTCTCATGTCCGGCCTTTGATTCACCTGTCTCCTCATGGCTCATGTGTGTCCACGCTATCTGTTCAACAACCGTTCGATCTGTTCAAATCCAACGCCCGAAATTTCTCCATAAGCCATTCTCTCGTATTTTCTCACTGTCACATTAATATCCCGCTCTTTTTTCTATCTCCAAAATCCAGAAGGAAATCCTTTCAATTCTTTATTTTATTATTGCGACGAAAAAAGAAGAGAAGAAATGCAGGAACAGGCAACCAGTTCATTAGCCGCCAGTTCTCTGCCGTCAAGCAGTGAGAGATCTTCGAGCTCTGCTCTGCAACCTGAAGTCAAAGAAGGTCTCACTTTTCTCACCGTACTCCTTTTAAAGTAATTATTCTTTGCGGTAATTATTCAACGATGAATAGTTTCGGATCGTGAAGGTAGCTTTAATTTTGATGAATATGGCTTTTCGCATCCTCAATGGTTCAGTTCTTCGCGATTCTCAGAGTAAATCGGAAATCCCACATATCGATTTTGTAGAATGTGATGTTTCTTCATGCGGGCAGAGATTGCTTTTTTTATACGTACTATTTTTTTATGAATGTTATCTTAATCTTATTCATATTGAGCTTCAAAGGGAAAAAAATCCGTGTATCTCGAAAATTCCCTTATAGGTTTTGTTGTATCCTAGATTCTCTCATCCCGGCCTCTAAATTTTAGCTTTGATCACTTTTCCCGATAAAATTCATTGAGATCAACAGGATTTTTTCTCTTCGAGAAACTAGTATTTCTCCTTACATTTATGCATCAGCATTAAATTATCTTCCAAACCTGTTATCAGGCATGGAGAGCGATGAGGAGATAAGGAGAGTGCCGGAGATCGGAGCGGAAGCAGTTGGCACACTATCCACCGGTCGAGAGGCCGGTTCATCGGTCGGTCAAGACCGGGCTCAACCCTCGGGAGAGAGTCAAAGAAAGAGAGGAAGAAGTCCAGCTGACAAAGAGAACAAGCGGCTAAAGAGGTAAAAGTTTTGAACAGTGAAGGTGACAATTAGTCGCATTTATATTTACCGTTTTGCCCCTTCTATCCTTTCGATTATACTGACAGATTTGCGGTATTTTGGTTACTAAAATCGGCCATAAAGGTTATTGAGGAACAGAGTTTCAGCTCAGCAAGCCAGGGAGAGGAAAAAAGCTTACTTGAACGAGCTGGAAACAAGAGTTAAAGACCTGGAGAAGAAGAACTCTGAGCTTGGAGAGAGACTTTCCACGTTGCAGAATGAGAATCAGATGCTTAGACATGTATGTTTTCGGTATTAAATCATTATCACAATTTATTTTAGCATCGTTATTATATTGTCATTACGGTTTTTCTAGATAGTCAATGCCTTCCTGTTAAACCCACACATTATTTTAAAATATCTCCAGAGTTAATAGTTGGCAAGATGTTGTGCTACTTTCCTGTGAACACTATTTTAGGCAATTGTTTGTCTGGTCCGCAAGGAGTTGTGTCCATTTCTATTGTTAATTTCCATACTTGCAGGCAGTCAAAGATAAAATTTTGAATACATCTACGCTAATATAGGAGTGTCTTAATAGCGTCAGGAAGAGATCTAGTCTTGGATAGAGTCCAACAATAGACTTTGATCGAAGTACCAAGAGAATTTGCTTGGTAAATTAGTGAGCTTTACCTCCTATTGTGTCTGATTTTAGTGTAATATTTAGTGTGAAAAGGGGTAGATAAACATAAATCCTAGCCATCATGTATGATTATGAAGCCCGGAATAATTAGATTTGAGATCTAACTGTTTTTTTTTTTTTAATTGAATTGTTTGTCTTTCCTAATTATTGAAAGGTCATGAAATTTACCGTTAAGTCGGACTTCTTGGCATGCCCACGACCACCACCCCATTTTAGATGCAAGACTTATATTTTGTTTGGTGGGTTCTTGGTACTGCAAATATTTTGGCATGGACTAAGATTTCAGGCTAAATGTAATATCAGTCATCGACTCATAAATTGGTGGAAGTTATGGGAAATATAAGCTTTTTGGGAAGGTTAGCAATTCTAACATGCTGATTTGATGGTTTAGCTTGATGGTTCTTGGTTGAAAGATAAGTGTGAGAGAAATTTCTTGTGAAGCTTGAAGAAGAGGTGAGGACATAAATATTTAGAAAGCGTGAACAGCATACAAATTTTTTGAGCGTTTTCTCAGAGGTTCAATCTGCCTGGTTCAGTATTGACTTTTGAGAGTAAATATTGTTGGTGACTCCATTTATCTCTTGAAGCTATGGAATCTCTGAATTTCTTTGCTTCTACTGCAGATCAATACTTTTTCTCTATTTGGGTGAGAGAAACTTCTTTAAATAGGTTAACTCGTGCATATAAACCTCCTGGTAAGTAATCGATTATTGTAGAAGGCTTCACTTTTTCATCAGCCGTAGTGGAACCTCTAGACTTTAAAGGTTTGCTAGGGCCAGGAAATGGACAGAATACCAAGGCCTGGTAGTACTATTTTGGGCTTATATTTTATGGGTCCTAAAAATGAATGAGCTGTTTTCTGTCATCTTTTTCTCAGTTTTGGTCCACTAGTGGAATATTGGGTGAGATCAAGACGGAATTCCATCTCATAAGTCTGTTCCGGTTCATTAGTTTGTCATCGTTTTCTTCAATGAACTGGTTCTATGCATAGAGAAATTATTGGTTCAAAAGATACAAGTGTATTTAATTTTTTATTGTATTGATATCTCGGCAAAAAAATTAAAATTGACCAATGAAGGTGAGATTTTTCTAAAAATATTAATTAAAGTGTAATAATTTATCAGTGCATATCTGCAATTTTAGATAATTTTCTCCTTTAAAGGTTTGGTTCATGGAGTAAAGATTGCTTAATATGTTCTTGGAAATTACAGATACTAAAGAATACAACGGCAAGCAGACGAGGGGGAGGCAGCAACGGTTCCAATCAAGATGGAACTCTCTGAGAAGATTGAGAGCCGGAAATTTGTAATCTTGAGAAATGGGAAACGTAGAATGACAAGGATTCTACTGTTCTAACTGTTCATGATTCTATATAATATATTTACAGCCCTTCTCTTCAACTTAGGCTTAATTTATACAACAACCCATTTACAATTTCTCTTAATACTGAAATCTTAAATTCTATTATATAATGAATTGCCGAATAGGTATATAAATTAGTTAAAGTTTCTAATGTCTCATACTAATTGTCCTTTCAACATTATTTATTTTTAAATAATCATTAACAACAACAACAAAACTAATAATGATGAGAGCAATGGGACTAATTCAATTTTATTGCTTTTAGTTGGTGACTGTCGGTGGCGGCAAATATACGTTGCTATACAAATCGATTTAGTAACAGTAATAATGTGCGGTCAAATTTAATAGAAAATTATCTTCTAATCTGAATTATGGAAAATTTTAATTGCGTACAGTGTTAATATATTTGGAAAGTTGGTGTTGAAAGATGAACCTTCAGCTCTCTAACTGTCCTGACGAACCTTTTCCAAAATTGTTATTTCTTAATTACTTAGTCAACATAATTTACTAATCTTTTGCAATAATTAATATATTATCAAAATCAATATTCTTGACAACAAATTTAAACTAATCTTTTTCTTAGATATCTTTTTATGTTTATATAATTTTATCTAAAAAAATATACGTTAGGTTTTTATAATAAATAGTAATTTATTTCGTACGTGGATAAATGGTATCTCCAAAAAAATGATATTTTTGTCTCAGCAATGATGGCACCGCCACTATTATAGAGTTTGACTTTCTTTTTACTTTTTATTATTTTTTTCTATTTCTACCATTACTTTTTATTTTTTTGCTTTCTCTATGTTTTTTTTTTTTGTTTGTGTGTGTTTTTTGAAGGGTCTATTTTAATGTTTTTATGCAATGACTTCTGCTTCTTTATGTATAGTCTTGAATCCATTATAAGATTTTGGTTAGTCTATCATATAAGATTGTTATATAATTGTGGAATTTGTGGCATCTGAGCAAGATGCCATTGATAGTGGTAATCAAATTACTACACAAATACAGTGAACACAATGTCTATTTTAAAAAATAAGGATATTATAGCAAATGCAGCCTACAACCACAATTCTGTCTAACTGATACATATGCTGAAAAATATTAAACACTTTTCTTTTAATATCTTACATCAACTTTTGCAACTATGACTATACTCAAAAGTGTTGGAAATTAAACCCATTTTGGGGAGTACTACAACATTTTCATGGGTTATATGGTCGGATCAAAGCTGCTCTCTCGTCATCAATCGGAAAAAATATGGTTTATGTACTTATTATGAGACATTTGGTCCGTTATAAACTAATAGGCTCATAATGCAAAATGATATACACCTATCACTTTAATCATAAACTACAAGGCTATAACTATGAGTTGCAAAATTTGCAAAAGGTTAGGTGTCGATAACCACGACCTAGTGATATCCATTGATAAAAGAGTGCTTGTGGTCCCCATCTTCTATTGGAATGATAAAGTCATTGTTGATGCATCCCTTGGACACGATGGGTGGACGAGATTCAAGGTAGTAGGTCGACGTTTATATGGTGAAGTGCTATTTGCAATGATGCATAAGATCTCTACTCCCTTTCTATTGACAATGTTGATATTTAATCTTTAATATTTGGTATAGAAATTGTGCATAAGAAGGATTTTCAATATATCATTGTTTGTTGTGATTCTTAAATAGTTTCTAAGCGTTTTTTTTTTTATTTTTTCTATGAATTTATAATATAGTTTGTTGGTTTAATACATATACTTTCTTGACAACTTTTATTTTCC